GACTATGTATATGATTAACACACAACTAGAAATTTAAATTCATGTATACCTTACGAAGGTAGATACCGGAAATATATTTATCTTTCGTGAGGTAATAGTATTTAATCCAATACAATAATCGCTTAGGCTCTTATAACCGTCATATAGACTAAACCCGACCGTTGTTGTTACTTTGACGTGGTGGTCGGGCTTGCCAATCGTGATGAACCAATCGAGCTATTCTAGCTGGAACAGTCGTTCCTCAAGGTCCTACCATGCCAGAAAGGTCAGTTGGAGAGCGGTATGACTAAAAGCAACAAACCCAAGGTCCGAAGGCTAAGTCGCATTGCTGACTATACAGAGGTGTGACAGCAGTAAGGTGTTTCCTTCAGACAACCAGCATGACAACGATGCTGCCTTCCCACAAGAAGGGATGGGATTAGAAAAGGTCGACCCTAAAAATGCACACCTCACCTTATCCCATGGATATCCGTCTCCGGCGGTAAGGTCTCAACAAGTACGGAGCTAACACAAAAACTACTCATAAAAAGGTTGTGTGTGACAGACTCCAAGCAGTTGTGTCCCTTAGGCACTGCGGTCTAGCTCTCAGGTCATTAAGACTACCTCTAACCCAATCTCTTTTTCATGTACCTCCAGAAGAACCCTTCCACCGTGTGGGAAACCGGGATGTGATAACCGCCCATATACCTCTAACAGCACTCTGTATACAGACTAAAAGTTGGGATAGAATCATCAAAGAAGGCTTAACAAATGGTTCAGAACAGAAGTAACTTTAATATCCAAGATAATGTTGACCAATTGATTTCTGTATGCCCAAGTCTTAATGTTAGAGAACAATTCAAAACCTTCAGTAGCATCAAGTGAATACATCACAAAATATAAAACCTAACTAGTAAGTGCTATACATAAAACACTCATTGAGGACTATAAGAAAAGTATACAATTTATTATTGAGTTATTCTGCTGTATATATGGGACTGTAACCTTTTGGATAGGAGTTTTGTAAACCTTCAGTCTTTCGGATCTTATGATCTCACTAAATATTATCGACTTCCATTGTCATTTGATAAACCAGATTACTAGTATGTACGTACTCAGCTTTGAGCTACATTGTAGGTAAAGTTATTAACAATATCTGACTACGTAAATAAATGTACTGAGAACGCGGTTCGGACTATGGGGCTAATAGTTGAGAGTTGGTTGCTATAACCGTTAAGTCATTCACTTTAACCATCCAAGTGTATATATAGATGGTGGCTAGGAGTAGAATCAAAGATGCCAGTTTCATCCTATTTCAGCCAGAGATGATGTCCAACCCGGGACTCAAAACCAACACCTTTTGCTTCAAGCTTGTGTTATCCACTTAACTACTGAGTTCGGATAGCTATTGGCTTGTGAAATGAGGTGAAGCTTAATTCGTTTGTATTCGTTATTTGAATCTTTCCGAACAGTACTGAGTTCGAATCCCGGAGTGAACATCAACTCTGGGATACAGGTACATCCAATAGAACAGTTCTGGATTCTACTGCTAGCCACTATTGGTCTCTACTTAAAAATGCTTATAACTTAGCGTCAATATCGTAAGAATCTGTACAGGATGTGCATATGCCGAAAGACTGAGATTAATCGCAGTCCTGAATATCGATAGGAAGATTCTGTAGTGACCTACTTTTATCAAGAGAACGCGATTGGTTTAATGGAAACAATTATTATTATAATCAATTGTACCAGGGATTGTTTTACGGTACTTGTTTGTTTAACTGTACCAAAACACATACATTCTTCCTTCGATTGTGACCTTGCACGGATTCGATCACGCTCAGTAACCACACTTGTACTCCTTCGGCACGATCTCGGTATTCTTTCGATACCACGAGATCGCCAACAAATAAATCTCGACTACAGCCATCAACTGCCTTCTGATATTTGACCTACGGGGGATCCTATCGGTTAACTGGCACGTAGTCTTCCTGTAGTGGTGATCACAGTCAACCACGACCCAACGCCACGCTACAATTCAAATAACCAGTGCAAATAAAGTATTAGGTGTATAGTTCACCGTCAATCTACAAACTAATAGATAAATCTTCATTACTGTCTTGTCTTATAGACCAAGAAAAAAAATCAATAAACGAAGGGATAATATTATTTATTATTTGGTCAAAACCATATATAAAAGGAGAACAAAGAAAACGAAAACCCCATTACAATAATCCAAATCACAGATGATCAGGCAAATTGAATAACAAAGTCAATCGATACACACATACACACATAACATCGAATAGACTGAAAAAGAAGAAGATGATGATGATGAAATGATCAATTTAACTAATTTCGTATTTTTCCGTATGAAAATTGGATTCATATGAAAAGTTGATCGGGGTGTCCTGATTGCTTACAGTAGCTTCTATTATCTAAAAATAAATAATACAATACAATAATATACAATGATATAATGTAACTAACTTTCCTTAACAAGACAGAATATGGTATACTAAAAGTGAAACAGTAACTTGGTAGCTGAAGTGTTCCACTTTTATGTCACCGTTTTAAACTCTGATATCATCAACTTTGATTTTAACAAACAGGCTATATTATTAGTCTTCATACTTAAAATGTATAATCCTACGCCGAGTACATAAACTTTACAACTGGATGATAAATAATGAGTAATATTAGTAATTCAGAAAATATCCTGCCATAAAATAGAAAAGATGGATAGTGGCTAGCAGTGGAATCCAGGACGGACGTGTCGTCTGATTTAGGACTCGTCAGCAGCTGGATGGCGTTTGGAGCGAACGGTACTGGGTTCGAGTCCCAGAGTGAACATCAACTCGGTGAAGCAAACACACCCAGCTAACGAGTTCCAAATAAGATTAAACGCGCGTCTTGGATTTTACTACTAGCCACCACCCATCTTTGCTTAAAATGCTTGTGACTTAAGACAATATCGAGGAAATCCACACAGAACGTACATATGCCAATAAGAGACTGATCAATTGCAGTCCTAAACATCAATGGGAAGATACAAATAATACAAAATGAATATAAACTGGCAGATCAAAAGGACAATTTGCAAGGAAGATAATGAGTCCGTTTTCAGGTCATTTATGTTTGTATTCAAAGAAATATATAACCTATTAGCTATTCAGTAGTTACAATTCATGGGCAAAGCAAACCCATACTGTTCACGACATGAAGTAAAATGTTTCCAATGGGGAAACAGCAGTAGTCATTCCAATACATTTATACAATTTACTTACTACCCTAATCATTATTAGCTAAATGCCCTGGTGTGACCGAGGGCAAGAAGAGTTCACACTCCCTTCGCAAATGTGTATATAGCCACTAGCACGGAAGTATTACTAACTACCTTCTCGTACCCGGTGTTATTTATCAAAGCAAGAGGACGAAAGCCGAATGCCCAACGAGGGCTTAAACCCGGTTCCTTCACTGTCTTGTAGAGTAGACCTTTGGGTCAAAGGCTCAGGGGGTGGGCCTCTTAGAAGACCACTTACTTCGGTTTGGACACCCGGGAAATATTCCAGTCGACACAATAATTTATTGATTTTTGTAGCGCATATATATTTTAGTCCCCCTTTGTACTAATGTTTATAATAATATCTTTACATCACTACACATATAATTAATGATTTGCGTAGACAACTTGGGGTCAAGAAAATTTTAGTCGTACGATAATTATATTGCCAAACCAAAGCTAACTAAATAACTTCTAACACTTTCCGTCAGTCAGTCGCAACGTGGAACTTGGTACGTGTGTATATCAGTCCAAGTTGCCATCAACCATTAACACAACGAAATGGAAATGTTAGGCCGAATCCCAGAAAAATATAGGTAGTAGCAGTATAATTGATAAAAGGAGAGATTAGGCATCGAGGACACAATTTGAAAAAAATATAATTTACTGGGATAACAAAAGTTAGGAGTAACTTAGGGGATACCAAAGAATGGATACACGTGCACCATTGCAAACGATTTTGGGCCTATAACACCACTGGTTACGATAATCACTCAGACCCCAAACTGGTGGTCTGCACCTATTATAACATGCTTCAATCCCATTGTCAATGACTTCATGAGCTGATACTATGATATAGTTTGATCCCTCTTAGATCATACAAGACACATGTAAATATATATTACCTGAATTCCACAGTATGATTTATTTGATCCAAAGTTTAATTTCAACGGGAAAAATTGTTCTGCTTGTGCACCACGTTCTGTTTTTAATGTGAACTCGAGGGAACCAGATGAATTATCACTGTTAACTGTGGGTATACGCCAGTCTAATTGAGTTTTACGTGGACTCAATTCATATTCCCCATCACAATTACCAATTAACGGAGGTTTAGCTGAAGGACTTCAATAATAAAATAAATACAAACGAATATTATATGAAGTCAAGTAAACAAATAAGGCGAGTAATACAGTGAAATGAAAAGTAAATTGTTGTCTATGTACTTTGTAATCAGTTGAATTACAACTCATGGAAAAGAATCAACTACATAGAAGACGGTACAAATGTTTGTCGGTTCAGACTTCTACATATTTTACAATAACACAGCTCTAAGTAAACCAAACAGTAAATCAATCATCTACAACGCAGGAACAGCCACATATATGCATCAGTTCAAGTTGACACACCTCAGCAGGACAAAGAGTGTATACTAGTGCACCATTGTGATCGACTCTGAGCCATATCACTCAGTTTCCAACCATTGGTTACGGTAATCACACGGACCCCAACCAAGTAGTCTGCACCTACCAATATGACTTTAAGGACTGATGTCACGTTTTAATTTGGCCGCCCATAAATATCTTCCAACCGTCTCTAACACTAGTCAGCATTGCACGTCGTTGTAATCGGTGCTCAAGCATAAATAACACGTGACCCAACCATCTCAGTCGATGAAGATTTACAACCTCACCAACTGATTTACCATCATTCCCTAATACACTGAGTCTAACCTCGCTATTACTTACCCGATGATCCCAGCAGACACGATCAATATTACTAAGTCTGTGATCAAATACTAGTATTTGCAAGTATCTTCTACTGTTAATGGCCACATTTCGTAGCCGTTAAGTAAAACAGGATGAATTAACAATAAGACAAGTAGGGAAACAAAGATAATATTAATGTCGGTAGGAGTTCAAATTAAAATTAATGAATGGAGAACACGAAATAATAGTATGGTTAAAAATACAAAGGACAAATGTACATAAAGCACTGTGTCTGACTTAAAATCATGTCATCAAACAGATTACAGTTATTGCATAGATGTGTAATATGCAATTATAAAGCCTTTTGGATCCTTCAAAGCCCTCGATAAACTATTCCTATATCTTAGTTTGGCATTATTTCAATCTATTATTTACGCTAACCAGAACAGCACATCAAAGTAATCGGTGATTAGGCATATGGAACAGAGACAATTATTCATAACTAATGTGAAGCCAGGTACGATGGTGTATTGGAACAGGCTGTCACAGTACACATCAACACAACAAGATAAACAGCAAAGAAGTTAAAATAATCGTAACAGTAATAACAATTACGGAGGCCAAATATTAAGAATATGGTTCAAGAAGATAGAATGAAAAGGTATGATTTAATAAACGCTGGATCTTAAAATATAAAGGACGATAAAGTAATGAGTGTGTCTGAACTACTGTGACCGATTCTGAGCTATGTCACTCAATGTCTGCAGCCACTAGTCATGATAATTGCGCGGAGCTCAACCAGATGGTCTCCATTTAACAACATGGTTCAGTCAAACAGTCAATGACTATGTGGACTGATATTACTTCTCAGTTTCAGCTCTCCTACTTTTCTTCTAAATTACTACATTAGCTAACAATGCAAGTCGAAATATACTGTGGTACGCGATACGTAACACACACCCGAACCATTCTAGCTGAGGAAGATTCACCGCTTCAAAAGACAACTATTACTATGGTTTTAACATTCGTACTGATAACTTTCTTGTTCCACTGTAAATGAGTAATGCTTCAACGACAATTATCGTCAACTACAACTGGAATTCTCCATTAAGCGCCAAACTTCATATTCGTGGAGAAATAAACGACAATATACTGAGCAGTAAACTTGCTTTGATACCAGCAGACAGAAATCACATCCACACCAAACGTAAAATAATTTAGTAAATGCAAATAGTACTGTTCCTTGTATTTGTTTCAAAATTGAGTCAGTTGTCAATTCAATAAGTTTAATGAGACACTCATAAAATTAGTGAAATGATTGACAAGATCAACAATCTTACCACACATACTTTAAAACTGGAAAAACATACAGATCAGTTCATAAAACAACATTTCATGTTCACGTATGACGAGCATATTTCAAGGAAATAATTTTATTCCATTATTAACTGGATCAATAACCAACTGATAAACTTGATAGACTTGACTGATCAAATTATCCAATACGGTTTATTAGAATAAGAACGTCTTTACCAAAGATGTGTTTAGTGGTCTATAAAACTAACTTACGGCAATGGGATTGACATAACTAAATTCTCCAGTTCTAATACAGAATCTTGTAATTCATATTCAACGTTTACTTCAAAGCCACCGGGTATTTCATTTGGCCAACAATTAACTAGAATGAAGACAGTAAAAAAATACTAAGTACGAATACAGTTACAGTGTACAATGCAATTCTTTGTGGAAAAAAAAACACAACAGACGCTTTTGAGATGGTGGAGAAGATTTGTAGCTCAGGTGGATGATTTTGATGGAGTTTTGTTCTCTGAGCTGGATGGTTTGGTCGACCAAACCATCCAGCTCAGAGAACAAAACTCCACCAACAGCAGACGCTGTCTATATCCCAAAACTGAAGTAGGCAGAGCAATGGTTTAATTCTTAAAATATTCGGTTTTCAAACAGCTCTAAACCTTACTCCGCTTGCTATGATTTAGGTTACCGGGAGATATCACCAGTCTCTTAAACACACGTGTCCAAAACTGAGTGTACACGAATCTATAATTTGTATGGAATTTATTATCACTGTCATTTATTAGGTGGAGAAAAGTTTGAATATGTTCAACATAATTTTAGAATTTGATAAGACTTATTTATGTACTAAGGTTTAAGTCGTACCCGATAAACCAAACTAAAGAAGACAGAACGATATTTAGACATACTGAAACCCTAACTGATTTTAAAGCTAAACACTACTGGGCTCTTCACTTACACAAGTTTATAAAAGTGTTCCGACGAAGATTTAAGGTTGTATAATTTGAAACACTGACTTATAAAACAATAGATAATGATTGAGTTTCCGACAAACTGATTTTATATCATATTACCTACGATCTTAAAATATAGATGATGAATTGCTAGGGGACCTTAAGTCAGGAAGTCTGTATTTGAATGTGGTCCATTAACCTCGTAAATATTATTTTAGAGAGATCTGTCTCACTGTGAAGTATAACTCATTTTCCCAATAATAATAATAATAATCAACTCCAAAATCAACACAAAGAACTTTTCTCGAAGTGGAATAACTGACTAAACAAATGGACAAGTTTAAATAGTCAGTCAGTCAGCTACAACGTAGGACCAGGCACATACATGCATCGGTCAAAGTTGTCACACCTCATTAACACAACAAGATGAACATCAAATTCATAGGATTAGTTAATTCAACGGTGGTAATATATAAAAGAAAGATTGCATATAAGGATATAGTACAGGAAGAATTAATTCATAGAAAGAAAGATATGAAGCGATTTTAATCTCTTAGTTTAAGGGAAGACAGAGAGTGTATACACCGACGCCATTGTGATTGATTCTGAGCCATGTCATCCAAAGTCTCCATCTATTGATTACGATAGTTACACGGATCCCAACCAAATAGTGTGCATTTCCCAACATGTCTTAAACTACAAGTTAGTGACTTCAAGCACTGATGCCACGTTTTGGTTTGGCCGCCCCTAATTTTCTTACAACCATCCTCAACACCGGTTAGCATTGCGCGTCCTGGTAATCAGTGTTCAGGCATACACAACACGTGGCCCAATCATCTCAGTGGATGAAGATTCACAACCTCATTAACTGACTTACCATCCACCATTGAATAGTAAAACGGAACAACACAAGAATATTATGTGATTAATCAAAAAACAGGTCTGAATAAATCAATGTCATGTCATCTCAATCAAGGTGATTCATAAGCGACATGTATGTAAATTTGTGTACATGTAAGTATACAACTGTTAAGGATGAAAAATATGTGACCTTTATGGTGAGAAAGGATAGAGTTTAATTTGTAAGATAATAGAGTGAATTGTGAATAATATCTAAGCACGATAGATGGTAAGGCCTTCATTTCTATTGAGGGAGGTAGAATTAAGCATTATATGAAAAGCATTGGCTACTCACCTTTCTTTGTAATTGGAAAAAACCCTTTTTGTAATATTTTTGAAATGGATTTGACGGTTGTTGAAAATGGCGTGAACTGCTATTGCTGATTTATTTTTGTTGTTCCATTTTACTATTTAAACTTGGATTAATCTCGATTTGGTTATCTATTTATTCTCTGAAGAAGTGGCTTACACTAAGTCACGAAACGTCAAAAAATCTAATTTTTTTATACTCATTGGGATATTACAAATATATTAATTCATTTATAACACTCTACCCAATCCTCAATTTATTCGAAATTATCAAGTTAAACCTTGATAATGATACCTATAAACACAAATGGACGTTTTATATGAGAGTGATAGAGAAAACTTTGAACGAAGTCATATGCATTTTATCAGTTAGTTTATTGATCTAACAGAGTTATGGAGTAAATATACAATAGCTTACCAGTTATAGGAAGAGCAGCTTCATCGGAAGTTTGAAATCTCCATCTTAATATACCAACTTCTTGACCATTTGGAAATGGTTTACCTCCTGGTTTGATTTGAATCCAACCAGTGGACTAAACAAAAATTTGAGAATAATTAAGAGACATTATAATGAGCAAAAATTAACATCCTGAAAACGTAATCAACAATATGTAAACTTTAAAATCCCAGTGTTTATTGTAGTTCTTTTTTGTAATTCAGTTTTAATATCCATATTGGGTGGGACTTGAATCAAGCACCTTAGGTAGATCGAAATCCAGTCTAACAATATCAACAAACGAGAGCATTTAAACTCTTATTAGTAATCATATGAAAATCATACCAGTTAAACATGTTCGTGACTACCTGAACTTAGTAGGTCAGTAGATAACACATCAGCGTTCGAAAAGATAGGTATTGGATCTGAGGCCAAATGTGTAAATATCGACACTGAGATGCACATACATCCGGCTGACGAGTCTCAAATAGAACGAAACACATGACTTATATCCCGGTGCTAGATATAATCCACTTATTTTACAAAATTTGTGAGAAAATGACTATATTGAAGTTATCCGCGAAGAATGCACATAAACCACTAAAGACGGATTGAAATTCAGTCCAACTATTAATAATGGGATAATTCAAACCTTTATTAATGATAATATACTACTCGGCTAATTTAACATTTAAAGCTAATCATTCAAATGATTAATCAAATATAAGTTTGTTGAAAATTCCCATTTAAACATTTTGTAAAATGATTCCAAACATTAGGAATTATGTAATTCAACATTAACTACATTTTACATAATATTTTATTTAAACACATAAACATTGGTATAAGGAGGCACCAAATAGATATGCACCACATAAATCATTCGATTTGTGTGAGGGCTGTGATACTGCTCGGGTGCCCAAACCGAAACAGGTGGTTTTCTTAGGGGGCCACACCCCGAGTCTTTGACCTTAAGGTCTGATCCACAAGTCAGTGGAGTACCGTGGGGAGATGCAGTCCCATGGTAGCCGGTGACCAACGATTGGTCCATACACCCTTTGTTCCATCAGGATCCAGGAGTCCATATGCACCATTAGTTCGAAATCCGGTTAAAGCTCCGGACATTCGCTTTTCGTCCTCTCATTTTCGTAAACAACACCCCCGCCACGAGAAGGCAGTGAGTAGGACTTCCCTGGCAGAGGCTGTATACGCGTGGCCGTGTGAGAGCATTTCGAGAGGGAGGGATGGCCCACCCCACTCTCGGTCATACCAGGGCATTTGGGGCCTTACATAATATTTGATAAGAAAATTAAAAAATATTTTAATTGTACAGTATTTATATAGAAATCATACATGACACAAAGTGAAACATATTAGATAATTCGTTGAATGGCATTTAATCAACGTTCAGCTAAAAGACAGTCCTATATCAATGACCAAAGGAGAGACAATGGATGTACAAACTTCTTTTCAGTACAAACGTTAGGTTTATGAATATAAATTCTGATAGATTCAGTCAGTCAGAAACAACGTAGAACTTCGTACGTACGTACGTACGTATATCACTTCGAGTTGCCATACCACATTAGCACAGAGATAATGGTAGAGGTAGTAAAATTATAAGCAGTAATCCGAAAGATATTTTTCAAGGAGTATAATACAGTGAAATAAATTTGGAAAGAGAAATAAAGGGACATGAAGAATTCAGAAGATTAGAATTTGGGAGAACACAGACTGGATGCACTTGCGCCATTGCAAACGATTTTGAGCCATGTCATTCAGGGTCTCTAACCATCGGTTTCTATCGTCTCGCCGATTCAAACCAGGTAGTCTACACCTACCAACATGGCTCAGTCCACTTGTCAGTGACTTCATGGACTTGTGCCATGTTTTGGTCTAGTCGCCCCTAGCTTTCTTCCAACCTACTTCTACACCATAAGACGTCGCACATCGGGGCAGTCGGTGGTTGGGCATACGTAACACATGTTCCAGCCGTCTCAACTGATAAAGTTTAATCACTTCATCAATTGGTTTGCCATCCTTACCTAGTATCCGTTTCCCAACAACTGATAGCTTCAGCAGTATGTTAAGTACGAACTCGTAAACCATACGGTAAATTTGATGATAGATAACTTCCAAAGCTTTATTTAGGTCAACATATGATCGTATTTCCCACCAGTTCAGCTAGAACAGAAGTCTCAATCACACTAAACTGTCCATTGTTCAACCAAAAGGGATGGTACTCTGCTATACGATGATGGACTTGCCGAATTGTACACCCTATAAAACTGGCTCCACAGGAGCAGTTAAATTAATAAACACATACGGATATAATGAATTCAGGTGGCATGTTTTTATTAGTGGTTCTCATCATCAGACGAATGTAAAAAAATTGCATTCAGTTTTGGCTGCAGTAAATGTTTTCTGAGCCACCTTTATAACCTTCGTATTAATACTTTCTCAGTAGCATCATTTAAAAATTGTGAATTCAAGTACACTAACTCCTATAAAGTAATTGTTGTATTCGGTCTTATGTTTATTGATTTTTTTAGAGGCGCGATATTTGACTCCAGTTAAATCTCATAATGTTTATTATCAAAATATGCATGCCAACAATCCTCGAATACATTTTACAGCTTAATTAGCGTTAGAGAATAACATGGTAAAATAAGTCAAATACAATAATGAAGTTTGAATACACATATTTCATACATTCATTGATCTGGACAGACAATCACGGAAACGAAGTGGAGAAAGTGAAGCGAAATGAAGTGACTCGCAGTGGAGAAGGCCAGCGAACCAACTCAATTTGATGATCAAGTTGTGACTCAATATTCATATTCAGATAAAAATAAGTTACAGATACGTGATGAATAGGGCAAGTAATCAACATCCATATGATCATATGAAAACAGTCATGATTAATAAGTGAATAATTGACAACCTCAAAATATGGCTTGAGAATAATGAATACACTGTGCTGTCCAGAAGCTAGAGTAAACTATTTGGGCTTAACGAAGTACCAGCCACAACAAATTCATTAGTTTATTGAGGAATTAATTCGAATATCTAAACTAAACAAAATCACAAATATTACCAACTTCACCAAAGCTTTCGTGGGCGAATTTATACACCAATCGTAGACTTCTAACTTGTACGTTACAACCCACGAATTAATTTGCCTTTAACCTGTCTAGTTGGCCTTTAAATTTCATAGAAAAATGTCTAAACAAGTATATGTGTGATCAGATTGTTCGAAATGTATTGCGCAAATATATCACATAATTCTGGTAAACTTTGTCTTCTAATTGAATTATCGTAAAGAATAAGTATCCTATTCCTAGATATGATTGCTTGTGATAGAGTTTTGTTCTCTGAGCTGGACAGCTTGGTCATGGAGCTTTTATCGTTATTTTGGACATCAACATAAACTTCAGGTAGAAGTGAAGTGTTCGAACTTCTCCAAATATGGCTCACCCTTGTCTTGTAGACTTCGTTTGTTGACCTTTAACCTGTCATTGTTTACTTCTTTATTTTGGTTGTATCTCTCATCGATTTAATTTTTGGTTCTATATTTGTCCATAATTTTTCTGATTGGTTAATAAATTGGATCGATGTCAATGTGTTTGTTGATTGCTGATTGACCTGAGTGCCAAGCTTCTAAAAACTCTCTGGTGTTTTTAGAACTGCCTCTATCCAAGATTTCAACATTTTCCCAGTCGAGTGTGTCCACATGCATTGATATGGCGTTCGACCGCTAATCGATGTTCATGCAAATGAAGATGAAGAGGGCGTCCGCCTTGTCCGATGTAGTGTTTGTCGCAGCTGAAACAATTTATTTTGTAGACGATGATCGGTTTTTCTTATTTTGTCATTTCGTTCTTTTGTTTGCATTGGATTTATCGAAGTGATTTTGTTGGTTTGTATGCGACACCTATTGTGAAGGGTTTCAACAGTCTCGTTGTAGTTTCTGATGTGCCTTTTATGTATGGTAGGGTGATCCGTTTGTTGATTTCTGTACTTGACTTTGTTTTTGATGATGCGTGCAGCTGGTAATTTTTAATGAAGTTGGTTAGGTAGCCGTTCTTTTTAAAGATAACCTTCAGGTATTTTTCTTCATTTTTCCGCGCTGCAAGTGTGTTGCAGTATGTCCTCGCTCTCTTGAAAAGAGTTTGTACACAGTTGATTTTGTGGGCTCTTGGTTTGCTGCTACTGTAATTGAGAATTTGATCTGTGTGGGTCGGCTTCCGATATATTTGAGTGGCCAGTTTTCCCGTGTCAGTTCTGGTGATCAATATTGGTAAGATCGCCGTTTCCAGTCTCTGCATCACTGCTTCTGCAATAAGTCCTGATATTGGTGATCCCATCGGTGTTCCTTTCGTTTGTTCGTAGACTTTGTCATTGAAACGAAAATATGTTAAGCATAAATCGATGAGTTCTAGTAAACCTTAACTTTAAGGCTTCGTGTACTTTGTGAGATTTGTGTCGTTGGTGAGAAGCAGGGATACAGTTCCCTTTGCTAGGCTTGGTTCAATTGAGGTGAATAAGGTTGTTACATCGAAGGATATCATCGGCTCGCCGTTGCTGAGTTGAATGTCCTTAATCCGATCCAGGAATTGCCCTGGTACAACCGAGGGTGATGGGACTCTGCTCTTCTCTAAATACTCTCACACCCCCACCCATATACAGCTACCTCCAGGGAAGTTTTACTGACTGCCTTTTCATACCCGAAGTTTTTTTTTATCAAATTGAGAGGACAAAGGCAAATTTCCGACGAAGGTTTAAAACCAGTTGATGGGTACGGAGAATTCATCTAGGGGAGTTGGAAAACCCCTATTATAGACCAGTGGTGCACATGGGCTGATTGAATAAATGGCGTATGAGCCTACTGTTCGTCACCGGTTACCATTAGACCGCATCTCCTGACGTTGCTCCATTACTTTATGGATTAGACCTCTAAGTCAAAGGCTCGGTGAATGGGTTTCTTAGGAAACCACCTGCTTCTGTTCGCGCAACCGAGCAATATTCCGGTCCATACACTAACTCAGAGATTTTTGTGTTGTATAAATGTTTTGGTCCCTTTGTACCAATATTTACGCGTTTAAATAAATAAATATACGGTATAAATCACGTTTATAATACAAGCTGTAGAATATAGAACCCCATCAGATCACTTTTTACTTGTAAATATGATTAAAACAATTTAACTAGACTAGTCGAAACAATGAATCACAGTATGAATATGTAGGAAAGCACACCCATAATTACAAATGAAAAAGGAACAGATATAGTGCTATTTAACGTGTTTATGTTTCATAAATCTTTTATTGAATCACTTGACAGGAAATGTTAAACTAGTCAACGACTCCCCATTAGCCAGTATGAAGAATTTAAACACATGGATATCAAATTATTGGTTCCATGATGAGGTGCTAACTGTAGGACATTGCAGTTCTTGGGTTAATCAAATTTAGTCTGGAAGCCTCTAACTCATTAGAGAGTGGATGACTTTCAAAACTGATGTTTTCCAACCATTTATGATATTTAACCACGTTTGTTCTGTGCCAATATTTCGTAGATAAGCTATTTTATCATACAGAATAGCTATACTACAAAGCAACTGTCTTGTCTTCAGTTGGGTCTTACTTCAATAATTCGATCTCGTGAGCAGTTGTCATTTGGGTACATAGTATCGTTGCATAACTTCTAGCGATCGGCATTATATTCATTCACCGTAACAATTCAAAACTCACTTACTTGTCAAATCCAAACTTACAACAGAATGTAATGATAAAACCTCTAGGTTGATGGACTAAAGTGAGTGACCACCATCGATAGTCTACAATCGTGTACTTCAGATCAATCAACAACTGAATGGTTTCTGTGAAAAAAATATGTTTACCATCCCATGCAAAGTAAATCCATATCTTCAAGCATAATTTACCATAGTATCAAGTCGTTTACATTGAAATACTATTTGAGTATTATAAAGAAAGAAGAACTCACCATGAAAGTTTTCTTATCAATATTAGGATGTGTTTGAAGTTGAACAGGTGGCCGATGTTCATTGGGCGGATTTGTACACATACTTGTATCCACTCGGATTTTCGCTTCACAAGCTTCATTTGTGATAGCTTGTGCAAACATTGTACCTTGCAACTCCATACTTTCTAAACCACCATCACGACCAGCTTGAACGATTAACTTCTCCTCAATTCGTAAATGCAGACTAAAAAAACAATGTGCAGGAAAAAAACACATCGATTACTTGCTACTGAAATGTACAAACTTATGGTTGAAAAAATGACTTTCAAAATACAAATAAAAAATATTAAGCCATACTACTACTGAAACGATTCAGCTTCGCTATGGACCTATAATATAAAGATTGTAGACAATAGACGATTACTTAGTGGTAGGTATTGAACAAAAATTCATGCTTCTTCACAGTTAAGGCTGATACATAAGCCAAGAAATTTTAGGAATCATAGTTGTGACAATCAAGTGAAGCTTTACGCAGGAATTCTCTTGTAATGTATCATAATGCTTACAGTAAAATGTTTCAGGATACAACTAAAACTAATGGTGAGTTACTATTTTGCCATCTATTTGTATCCCACATCTAACAGCTCCGATATCTACAAGTGCATAATTATTTCATTGAGTACCTAGTTGTTGCCACAGATATTTGAGAAAAAAAGATCAAACCAGGACGTAGCATCAATTAATGAAGTCATTAACAGTTGGTCTGTGTGGTATTGGATGATGTTAACTGTTTGGTTGATATTACTTAAATGTCCATAATCTATAAATGAAGAAACTGGATAGCATGTTTCAAATTCGGTAGTAGTAATTTGCATTTTGTTCTAATCTTATCCTAAATCTAGAGTATAACATAGTTCTGTACTCTGTGTTTCACGATTTTGTTTGCTTCCCAAATGTCAACCACTATTATTACAAGATATCTAATTAGTCTTCTTGAAGTGTACCGGTATAAGGTGAGATAAGTTAGACTGTTGTACGTTTGTTCCAGGTCCTCTATGCTTTATAGAGGAATGAATATGCTTAAACGCCAGCTTGATTGTACCTGTAAGATATTAATACTTTTAAACTAATGCATGCAGAAAATGGATATAAATCAATGTTTACTTTTCTTTGAACCATTAACATGTTTATTCGACAGAATAAATCTTTTTAGACTCTAAAGCATACGACTTACTTTTCTTTTTTAACATGAGATTTTTGAGTTGAAGCAGAAGTTGAATTAGTACTCATTACGTTATCTGCTCCGTCTGATCCGCTAACTAAATTCATAACATCTTCATTGACCACTTCACCTTCGGCTTTTAGACGATTCACAAACTGATCAATGCTTTTTAAACCACCCTGGCCACCACCAAGTTGCATACCACTTCGTTTCACTGATGCTAAGATAGTTGCTGAATTTGTAGTAGGCAAACTTTGAACATCCGTATTCCCATCTCCCAAACGATCTTTCATGACGATTACACGAGGTTCATCTGTTGATAACACGGTAGGAACATACACATGGAAATCAGCCATGAGAACGGTTTTCCTATTTTAAAAACTTCACAGTTGAATTTAATAATTCGACAAACCTCACAAACAGGTAAATCGTGTACTATATTACATTAAAAAATTTTAGCAAAAGGAAAATATGTGACAAAACCTAACATAGCTTTAAATGCTTATATAACATAGCCCCGAAATGCCCTGATATGGTCGAGGGTGAGGAGAGTCGGCTCTCCCTCTCTAACTGCTCTCACATAGACACACGTATACAAGCACGGTCACGCAAGTCCCACTCACTGCCTTCTAGAACTACAGGTGTTGTTTACGAAATCGAGAGGACGAAAAGTGAATGTTTGGTGCTTTAACTGGGTTAGTAGATATGGAGGATCCACCTAAGGGAGTTGGAAAATCTTGATTGCAAACCAATGGTGCACATGAGCTCCAGGATCCTGAGGGAACAAATGGTGTATGAACCTATTGTTGGCCACCGACTACCATGTGACTGCATCTACTAACGTTGCTCCACTGACTTGTGGATTAGACCTCCAGGTCAAAGGCTCTAGGTGTGATCCCTACGTAAACCAACTACTTCGGTTTGAGCACCCGGGCAGTATGACAGCCCTCACACATCAGTGATAACTGTCACTGACCTCATAGTTATTGTGTATTTGGTGCACACTTGTACCAATGTTTATGTGTTCAAATAAATAAATAAAATAATAAAACGCAAAATTCGAAACATCTCATGACACCTTAGCGCTTACGAGAATTTTTCTAATCTAACCCGTTCAGTCGTATTATAATAAATACTCGGCCTGAAAGTATTCAACCGGCACATTTACGGCAGCGAAACATGGCCACTAAGAGTAGAAGACACTCGTAAGCTATTAGTATTTGACCACAGATGCCTTAGAAATATTGCTGGCATCTGCTGCGATCACCGGGTAAGTAATAGTGAGGTTAGACGCAGGGTATTAGGGAATGATGGTAAATCAGTTGATGAGATTATGAATCTTCATCCACTGAGATGGTTGGGCCACGTGTTACGTATGCCTGAACACCGACTACCACGACGTGCAATGCTATCCGGTATTGGAGATGGTTGGAAGAAAGTTAGGGGCGGCCAAAACAAAACGTGGCATCAGTGCTTGAAGTCACTAACTTCTAGTCTGAGCCACGTTGGTAGATGCAGACTACTTGGCTGGGGTCCGCGTGACTATCGTAACCAATGGTTGGAGACTCTTGGTGACATGGTTCAGAATCGACCATAATGGCGTCGGTGTATACACACCCTGTCTTCCCTTAAACTAAGAGATTAAAATCGCTTCATATCTTTCTTTCTACGAACCAATTTTTTCTTCTTGTACTATATCTCGGTATGCAATCTTTCTCTCATATGTTACCACCTTTGACCTAACCACTACTATGAATCCGGTGTTCATCTTGTTGTGCTGATGCGGTATGGCAACCTGGACCGACGCACATGTGACTGGTCCTACGTTGTAGCTGACTGACTGACTGATATTAAATGCTTAACGAGTTTACTAGCTGCTTTCCTTCATATCAAAAATGTGCAATGATGAACTATTCTGTATATTAATGCCCAGTATTAGCAATAACTGTCTTCGTTAAATAAATTAGCACTTTTAACATCATAAAACAGTGGCCATTTCGCAAGTGGTAAGCTGACGAATATCAAATAAGTAACTGGTCACAATTTTGGGATAGTAGATTTTAGAAGCTTATAATATCTTGCATGCAAATTCTGCAGTTAAGTGTAAATATTCTCATCAAACCTTGCATTGTACTTAACTACCAATTTGTAACACACATAAAGTACGGTGCAGTAAGAAGTTAGGGCAGTACCCAGCTTCAAATCAATACTCAGCAGGTTCAAACCCCGCACCATGTAATCTGGTTTGGGCACCTACATAATATAATAACCTCTCACAAAAAGAACTTGTAAACAAGTACACTAACTTGTACTTGTAAAGCGAGTCGCGTAAACAACACGAAAAAGATGCTACGAATAAAAAAATATGTAAGAAAATCATACGGTAAGCGGATAAACCACTTACGGAAATATGAGAAATGTGACCACCTTAAAATTTCGACATATTAGTAGACAATATTTTACTTCTATTACAATCCAACTAAATACAGGAAAGCTTACTTAAATCATTTGACAGACCACCCATTCCTTTCCCACCACGATAATTAGAGAATCCTGAAAGATTCATACCACCTGAGCGTTTTCCAGCTTCTAGTCGGGCTTGTTGTAGTTCACGTGCTCTCTGTTTCATTTGCTCTTTAGCATCACGTTCTTTGTTCTAAAAAGCAACACATGGAAATGAGTTCGAAAAAGATTAGAAAAATCAAAAACAAAATCACTAGCTAAAGTATGTCTTCGAATTCAACGGAGGAATGTGAACCTTAGTGACATTACCAGTACAGAAGTGAAAGAATGAACGAATTTGTGACAATGTAAAGCTCAAAGTTTTTTTTAAATAAACAGAAATATCCCCAGACGGAGTGGTTGAAAACATACCTCCTGTACAGCACGGAACACGCGTTCATCGTGTGAGTCCATTTCCGTATATGTTCGAATTTGTGACAGGTTGACATCTTCTCTGTAGCCTAGAGCTATGATTTCATCAAATGCGAAAATAAGTTGGAAAGCATGTGTCAGTACATCGTTTTCATCGGTACCACAAGCATACTCCGGTATCTATATGTACAAGAAAAGAATATGTAATTAAAGAGAACATTAAAAATAGAATGATCAGTGAGAATATTTCCTAAACGTACCACACGTGCAAAGAGCCGTAATGTCTCCAAATCTTCGAGTATATTGCTAGCTTTGGTAGTTATCAGAAGAACATACAATTTTTCCAAAGGTTGGTAAACATACCGCACAGATTCTGTTTCCACAAATGTATGTTGTTTACCTAGGAAGCAAAAAATATAGGCAATAACGGTCCTGGCGAGCTAAAAATCTGATATATCCATGATTTAGATATACAAATATCGTAGAGTTTCATAAGGGGAAGTTTCCTCAGGCTTGAAACAACGTTTCCTCAGTGCGAATACTGAGTCAACACTATATATGGGAAATAAGACAATACGAAAAATCTATTTTCAGCTGACGACTACAGTTTATAAATTCCACCCCAATAGCGCAACAGGTATGTTATAAAAACCTCGAGAATTTACACGTTTACATTCCCGATAAGATGAACTAATTAGAAATAAGTGTTGATTCATCACCGTACACCTGGCTCATACAATCACAAATCCAGATATATCAATAAAGGAATATACTGAACAAGTGAATTATTAGCTGAGTTTTGTTCGGCAAAGCATCTCAGACGATACTTTACGTTAGTTTTCTGTTTCAAAGAAAAGCGATTAGGCCAAATCAGATTAGTACGCCAACTAGAATCATAAGTCGTGTTCTGCAAAAACCTTTCATATAAATACGTAAATCACTTAATAGGTGATTTTAAGCCAAACATTTTCAGTCACTGAACAACAACACACCTAACTGTGTACGTAGATAATTGCATTTAATAACTGACTGACAATATTTGTATAACAACCAGAAAACGGTTAAATTATATGACATAAGTCTAACTAAGCACACTTGGAGCTGAAATAAAGGAATCGCCTTACATTTATTGAATGCAACATAAGAACAAGGACTGTGAGTCTTCGAGAAATAAAAAGTGAAAACTAACCTGTCCCAAGAAGCTTTGGAAATGTTGCTATTAATCCTTCAATTCTTGCCTTTGTCATTTCCACAAACTGTCGAGACACCAGAGCTTAATAAATTAAATGCAAATTCACACTATGGGCATACCTTTACCATCACGAGTACACACAGATGCAGCCAACAGAACCTTAATTTTTAGATGCTAAATAAAAGACAACTCACCATCGCGCCAACCTGTCAAGTTTACAATTAACCGCTTCGCACCTCCAATATCCAATCTACATTCTTTGGAAACTTTCAAATGGTTCAAATGACTGTGAACAGAATAAAAGAAGCTTTCGCTTAACGGGCTTCCGTACCTAGTGGCAGTGGATCAACAATACCTCCAGGTAGGAACCTAGGTATCTAGTCATAAGAATATAAGTAACGAATTCGAAATCCTACTCCAATAACTTCTGAGCTTGGTGGATAAACCGCCTTAACTTCATGTCTTTTTAATTCTAAATTATTATTGATTGCTTTGATTGTTAAATAAACATGCGTGCTATATCATTACTGAGTCTACGGATTACTCTTTTACATGCTTTTCTTTCCTTTAGATTCTTTCGCATGAGTTGATCTTGGGACTAGTACTGTACGTACCCTTAGGCTATGCTCGAACACCGACATGTTCGGATCTTATCGGCGAACCTGATCTATGGCGATTATAGTAGTCTTGTAAAGTAGTACATAACAGTAAGCCAAATGACCGAACGGTTTGTAGCGGTAAATAAATCCCCGAAAGAACTAGCTCTAAGTTTTCGACATTGGATGCTGACCATATGTTTTAGTGGACTCATCTAGCTGAAGGCGCTCGGTCATGCATCCGCACCAGATCACGTGTGGGATCGCCGTGCTCAACATCTACCGCAATCGCTAGCCAGATTAGATCAGAGAATTCCGATATATTGGTAATCGCCAAATACACTCTTCCGATCTCCTCAACTCTGTCTTTTGATTTCTCTGGGTGGGAACGAAATATATTAGAAGGTGTTACTGGTAGAAGCGTTGTCAAACACTGAATACCTGTGACATCATCAGGTTCAACAGTTTTTCAACACGATGAATGAAACTTTCGCCTAACTAGCTCGTTTCTGATACCAGTGGCTTCAGACGGGGAATAAGGCATTTGAAACAAGCAAGAATAAAAGAAAGATTGGTCAATTATAAAAGGATGTTGACTCTGAGTTCTTTGGAATAAATAAAGGTTTCAGTTGAAAAGCTTGATGGAGTTTGTTGTGGGCTTTGAAGACTTGACTACATATAAAAAGCAGAATGCGTGCAGTGGCATAAGCCACTAACACGAGAGAATATAGTGAAATAGATATTCAACATTTAATGGGGAGAAAAACCCAACGATGAGAAGACGGGAATGATAAATTGAATTAATTCGAATTAATCGGGTGGTATGGCTCAGCCTCGTCAGCATGATCGCTCTCTACAACTTTATTTTACTCATGCTAAGTATATTGTTCTATCTATAGTCTAAAAGTGTTCTTCATCATATATTGGTGATTGTTACGACGCGATGAGTTGGTGCAGATAATGATGTGACTTACATGTAAGAGCTGATAGACTAGACAGTTACACCATGACAAATCTACAATTTTATGATTAAGTCTATTATTAGAGCGGTATTAATATTATAGTAGACCATACTTCTACAGGCGCTCCTATAATCGAGTGTGTTGTGCTGTACTATTACTTTTATATAGGTTTGTGTTCGGATTGAACTCGGGAAATTGTTTAAAATCAGTCACAGATACAGTTATGATGCTCTAGATCATTACGATTTCACCTCTTAAAACCCTATATTCTATAAGGTGTAGATTCGTTTATTTTGTACTTTTCTCATGGTATGATCTTTCGGCCATGAGCTGATTTTGTATCCCGTCTTTAAACACTAAGATATTCTAGTCTTAATGGAAAGGATAAAATACTGTGTTCCTCAACGGTTTGTAGGGTTGAACAAACCGATGAAAAGTGTGTTCGATGGGCAGCTTAGTCCCGAATGGAATACGCAATCATAGTAATGGGTTGAAATAAGTCAATTGAATACTTTGAGTAAACGGCCCGATATTACAAAATAATTCCACATTTTTCACGAACCCCGTTATATCAGAAGATGTTTGTGGAGATTTTAGAAATTTCACAGATTGAAATCATGCGTCAGTTGAAGCTAGATCACCATGGAAAACCCGGAAGCACTGGACGGCTGTTTCGTCCTAGTATGGGACTCCTCAGCAGTGCGCATCCACGATCATGCACCCCCGGGAGTCGAACCCAGGGCCTACTTGTTTCGCGCTCGAGCACTTAACCAATAGACCACTGAGCCGGCATCCAATGGTGTTAATGTGTAACTTCAACCAATCCACGAAGTTGCCCCACCGTATACCATTGTCTTTAGTGAGCTGATATCTCACAACAGACCTGGTTGAACTCCACTGATAACGGCTTCCACAAACCACCTCTGTTAATAATAATCTGCTCACTAATGACTGACTTCAAGAGATACTCCTGGAGTTCTAGTGGGAAGCCGTTACCAGTGGAGTCCAACCAGGTCTGTTGTGAAATATCAGCTCACTGAAGACGACCGAAAAATTTGCAGCTTCTTCAATAACGCTACAATATGGGTGAAGTTAAGACTACATGGAACACTTTTAGTCAAATGACCACACTTTAGGTAAGAACTCTCTTAAGGTTCAGAGTGTGTTTGAAAAGATTTTCCTTCCTTATCATAATTTACGGAGAAGATCTAATTGTCACAGAATCTTATCTTTAAATATAGAGCTTTCATTTGCATGTTTGTTAGGCATACTGAATGATCAAATACATATGTCCCAGGGTTGATAAAAAATTTATGTTACGCTTTTTTGGTCTTTAAACTTTTAGTGCAATTTGATATTAATTTTTGCGTACGTTTGTCAACAACTGTGGTAACATATTCGGTTATTGAAATTAGAAGTTCCATAAGGGGCCAGTGAGATTCACTTGAGCTACGAAAAGGTATAATGAAGACAGAAAGTTTGGAGAAGCCAAACGATCACAAAGTGAGCCCGTCCAAACATCATAATGTAAATAACGGAACCTAAGGGACTCAAATAACTTAAGTCCTCTGTTCTATTCTTTTTCCAGCAATCACCACAGAAAGCCATCTAACAAAATCAAATAGGGTGAGTCTTTAGAATTATGGTCTAAGTCCATTATCAGTACTGCTAGAAAAATCTAAAAGATCTTACGTGGAAGTCACATCATTATCTACACCAACTCATCGCGTCGTAACAATCACCAATATATGATGAAGAACACTTTTAGACTATAGATAGAACAATATACTTAGCATGAGTAAAATAAAGTTGTAGAGAGCGATCATGCTGACGAGGCTGAGCCATACCACCCGATTAATTCGAATTAATTCAATTTATCATTCCCGTCTTCTCATCGTTGGGTTTTTCTCCCTGTTAAATGTTGAGTATCTATTTTCCCAATTATCCGGCATTCAGCTTTGAGGATTAAGTGATTAGGACCAAGTGACAATACAATATCATGTGGCAGTCTGATCGTTATTTATCCTGACTCGTCGTATCATAAGAATCAACGATATGACGTCTGAAGCTTTTGAAGAACACATTTCGGCTTTGAGAATTGTGCGGTTCGGACCAAGAAGGAGTTTTAGTGCCTGGTACTTCGTTAAGCCCACATAGTTTACTCTAGCTTCTGGACAGCACAGTGTATTCATTATTCTCAAGCCATATTTTGAGGTTGTCAATTATTCACTTATTAATCATGACTGTTTTCATATGATCACACGGATGTTGATTGCTTGCCCTATTCATCACGTATCTGTAACTTATTTTTATCTGAATATGAATATTGAGTCACACTTGATCATCAAATTGAGTTGGTTCGCTGGCCTTCTCCATTGCGAGTCACTTCATTTCGCTTCACTTTCTCCACTTCGTTTCCGTGATTGTCTGTCCAGATCAATGAATGTATGAAATATGTGTATTCAAACTTCATTATTGTATTTGACTTATTTTACCATGTTATTCTCTAACGCTAATTAATCTGTAAAATGTATTCGATGATTTTTGGCATGTATATTTTGATAACAAACATTATGGGATTTAACTGGAGTCAAATATCGCGCCTCTAAAAAATTCAATAAACATAAGACCGAATACAACAATTACTTTATAGGAGTTAGTGTACTTGAATTCACAGTTTCTAAATGACGCTACTGAGAAAGTATTAATACGAAGGTTATAAAGGTGGCTCAGAAAACATTAACTGCAGCTGCTAAATGTATTCGAGGATTGTTTGCATGTATATTTTCATAATAAACATTATGGGATTTTACTGAAATCATGTGTAGGGCCACTGAACATATGCATCCTGAAGAGAACAGTTTTAGCTTATTTTACAAGAGACGTTTGGTATGTATCTATATGTGAACATATGAGCGTATAAGATATATGCGGTAGAACTAGTTTTATCAAGGTAAGTTTCCCGATATGCTTGTCTTAATTTGAATTTTATTAAGTAGAATTCAGAAGAACGTATATCAAGTTGTTTTACTATAGTGGTGAAAGGATAGTCACTATTATTCGTAAGGGTTTTTTGACGGTTGATGATTATGACTTACTTCAAATTTCTTTTAACGTACACGAATTCTGATCTACTCATACTTCATTATATCAGTACTATATCGATTTTAAAAATTACATGCTTACTAATTCCAAACGTGTCTTGAATTCCAGGATATCTTGCATAACACCATGTTGACAGAGCTATAATAAGGGCTGTTCAAGTTATCTACACAGTTGGTAAAATAAACAACAAATGGATACCTAACTAAAACATATTCACTTACTTTAGTTCGAGGAATTATAATTGTTTTATGCATTCAACGAAAGAGAAATCCCAAATTTGTTTAAATGTCTTCTAATAGCTAAGATAGGTAAGTCGATAAACATTAGAAAATGTCCTGGTACGGCTGAGAGTGGGGAGAGTCAGATCTCCCGCTCCAAATGCTGTCACATGGCTACGTGCATGCAACCACTGCCAGGGTAGTCCTAGCCACTGCCTTCTCGAACCACGGGAGTTTACGAAGTTGAGAGGACGAAAATCGAATGCTCGGTACTTTAACCGGGCTGTTAGATATGGAGGATCCATCTAGGGGAGCTAGGAAGCCCTCATTCCAAACCAATGGTATACATGGGCTCCAGGATCCTGGAGGAACAAAG